CCATCAAAAATTTCATGAAGCCGTTTCCATTTATGCTTATCATGAATATTAATAAGTCTAATTTGATAAAAAATATCGGATAACCCTCTAGCAATTGCAGCAAAGCCTACATGCAATGAAGAAGGTGCATATTCTTTTTTTCCAGATTTTCTAACACCACAAAAGAATTGACAAAGCTGATTTTGCAATGCAGTATCATCTAATGATTCAAGAGATTCAGTCAAATTGGCTGCATTTCTATAAGCATTAAAAAGATTCATCCAAGTTTTTGTACTATCATCTGTATTAGTAACTCGAGAGTAAGCTTGAATATTTTGTAAATCTTTATCAGTAGGAATAACAAATCGTTCATGTGTTGTTGATAATTGGTTCTTTTTAGTAGAATTATTTGATTTAGTTAATAATGTTTCCTTGAAAATATTAATAAAACTATTAATTATTTTATTTTTTTATTTATATTTTTTAAAAAAAAATGCAAAAATAATACCATCTTTATCTTATAAATCTTCAGATATTTGTTTAAAATGTAAGTAAATAAAAATGAAGAAAATAATTTTTTGACGAAAAAAAAAGAAATAAATAATTATTATCGTTATGCATGTAATCAAATCAAAAGTATAAATAATGATTCAACACGTGATAATAACAATGTAATAATTATCACAAATCACACGCTCCTGGGTATAACTTAGTAATTTCATGGGGATCGGAATACCGTAGTTTTTTTCATTCAGGAAAAAAACTGTGATATTCCTAACTCCCTATGAAATTACTTATATTAATTGTAGATTTGGTTGAGAATGGTTTATCATTACAACCGATTTGGAACTTACAAAAGATGTATTTTCGAAAACAAGTTAGATTATTTTTCCTTTTTTTTTGTTGATTCCTTTGTTTTAAAACTTTAATTTAAATTAGACTTGTATCCTATAACTTCGCTCGAAGAATCATTTCCCGGATCTTTAACGGCTTATTACTACGGTATTAATGTAATCATTTCCAAAGGTGATGTAAGTATATTTTTAATTTTCTCTGAATATGATTTTAATTGACATTTGACTGTCTTTTTTGATTTATAGTTTTGAAGACGTCATCAGTATTGTATAGCACAATCATTTATCTTCAATAGAACGATTCTAGCAATAACTAATGAAACGGATGTGAAATTACTGAAAGTCATCAAAAAGTAGATAATGAAACCATAGAAGTCAAAGATCTTATGCATAGATAAATTAATATTTGATTTATTTTTTTTCGTGATTGGGATGAAAATTTGTTAAACTTTTAGATTAAATATTACAGACGATCCTTGGACGTTCTTGGAAGAGCTGCTTTTGGATTTGATTTTAATGCAAGATAAAATTATTTTTTTTTTAAAAAAAAAAATAGAAAATAGACAATTATAGTACTTCTCTTAATATCTATATTTGAACATTTTTCATTAAATTAACTGGCAATTTCCTAGTGTGTTTTATTTTTATTAGTTTCTGAACACTTACAAATTTGACAATTTAGATTATCACTTATAGCTGAATGGTGTTGCTTTTGTTTAAGAGGATGAATAGGTGACATAATAAAAAAAAATTTATTTTGTGATTATCTATCATTATGAATACTGCAAATTTATAAGATGTAGAGATATTAAAATCTAATTTCAAATTACATTAGATGTAAAGTTTTTTTTTAGTTAAACATGTAAAAATACGTGGATAATTATTTTATAATCTATTGAACTGATTTTAACCAATCAATCTTTAAGATCGAAGTCCATCGATCTGATCTCAGTCCAGTCTACCTAAAGATGATAATTGGTCCTACGCGTCTGTCTTAGTCTTTGTATCATCAGTCTTACACAAAGACGAACCGGACTGCGGTTTTAATTTATAAAGACCGATCGGAAGGACCGTCAGTCTTGTAATTCAGTCTTTTAAAAATAACAATAAATTAGATTATCTTCAAAACCAGTATTAATATTTAAAGCTTCATTTTCAACAAAAGTATCATAAGGAAGTCTCAGCTTCATTTTCTTCCACTGTTATCAAAGAAGAACTGCTTTCATCATTTATTTCGGTCATTGTAAAAAAGAAAAAAAAATGTAACGAAATTCAGCCATTGTCGATCTTTCATATATTTAAACCTTATAATGTTGATCAGTCTTTTTGAAGACCGCAGTTTTTAAAAAAAGACCGAAGTTTTACAAAAAGACTGCCGGTCTTTTGATTTTAATCACATGACTGTAGAGGACTGCGGTTATTTGAGTCTGGTCTTTTTATGTGTAGGACTGCTACAGACCAAAGTTTTCAGGACCATTTATCATCTTTAAGTCTACCCCTCAAACTAGAATGAAACCAGTCCTATGATCAGGATCTTCCAATGTTAGACTTATGTAAATAGAAAAACAATACTAAAAAATGGAAAAATATTTTAGAATAGTAATTTTTTTTTGTTTTATAATAATAAAATTTTGTATTTTTTTTCGCAAAAATGGAATGGATGCTTATAAAAGGTGTTATTATATAGAGGGTAATTATATAAAGGTTTGATTGTATTTTACTATAGTGTAGCAAAATTTCAGAAAAATTTTATTCTGTTTAAAACACATATTAGCATAACTGTATTAATAAAATATTTTTTAAGTATTTAATACTATATATAGATGCAGCAATTGCAAAATTTTGTGTATAAACGGCAAGTCAAATCCCCTTATTGATCAAACAATCTAATGTTATAAAAATTAATTTTTAATTAATCGACTATAGCTCAAGATTAAAGAATAATACTAATAATTAATTTAGTACTACTCGTATGATATTGAATATTTAGTTGAAGAGAAAATTCTGTTTTCTGCAAAGATTTATCACTCATTTCGCAATGAACTTTACTCGAGCTATTTTATTTATTTAAGTATTATATGTTATCTTCTAAAATAATGTATTATCATAATGGTGTTCTCCAGAAGTTTTAAATTAGGAAACATTATAAAACTTCTAGCATGTGCATTGGAAAAACGTTGAAGATATTTAAGAACTGCTTGTATTCAATTTAAAGTCATAAGATATTTTTACTACTGTCAACACTTAAACAGAAATATCTAATTCCATGTTTTTATTTTCAACATTGTTGTCTTTTTACAACAAAATTATCAATGTAATTTTCTAATTCTGTTAGAATAAACCCTAAAGGTCTTACACAAATTACATGACCTAATTCTAAAACGCTAACTATGCATTCTGAAGTAAGCAGTCATACTAATCTAATAGATTTGTGTAATATTAACTTTAAAAAAAATAAATTTTTTAAGTTTTATACTGTAGTGACTTAGCAAATCACGTGAAGTAGGTTAGTACTTACTGAATTAGAAACTTATTTTTCAGATCTCAAAACATTTCTGATTGATTAACCTAGTTATCGCATTTTCGCAGAAAAAATAATTCAAGTATTTACTGTTATGTAGCAAAAATTTCAGAAAAATTTTGTCACGTTTAACCTGCACACCAGTGTAGTTGATATTAAAAAATATTTTTTTAAGCATTGTATATTGCACATGATGTAGCAATTGTGCAATTTTAATAATCTTGATGCAATTTAATTTATGTAAACGCTGTAGTTACTATAATTCTTATTATACAAATATATGATGATTTTGAGTTCATAAACTTCAACTAGAAGTTACGATATGCGGGAGACTTCGTCCCCCATTAAGCATCGGATTAAATATCTTATGCTAATTAAATAAATTTATATAATAATCAATAATATTTGTATATAAAATAAATAGTTTATTGTATTTGTAAAGTAGTTCAATAAATTTTCAAATATGAAAGTAATTTAATAAACATTTTATTAGGTTAATATTTTTATCAAAAAAAATAATTATTTAAATATTTACTTTATTCACAAAGGTAAAGAAGTATTCGATTTTTGTTCTAATCGTTCATATTTTTTAAGCATTGATTTGTAACAAATAAAATGCGAATAAGATATTTTATTAATAAATACTTAATTATGAATTTTTTCGTTCATCAAAATAAAAAAAGTAAATCTCTTATTTATTAAAGAGTTAGTTGAATTTAGGCTTATATTATATTTCCGTATTATTTATTGTGTTATTTTATATTCAGTATAATAAATAAAGTTCCTGACATCTTGCCTATATTAAATTATAAGATCATAATTACAAAATGAGATTTTTAGATAAAGATCGATGCTATTGATACATTATATCAGTCGTAAATATCTTCAAGAACATAATAATCCCAATGGACTTCAAATAAGATCATGACAAATTTCAGTTAGAATATAATAAATGCAACGGAACTTTTGGAGGGTCATTATTAAATTTATATCACGTTAGAATCTAAATTAGCTTATAAATTTTCATCATGTGATTCAAGGTATATTATTTTCATGAGAGTATATTTTATTTGTTTGTTAGAACGATTGTAACTATGTACGATATGGGCGATCTAGAACAATGTAGAGTTGATGAAGAGAATAGTTTATTAATAATACTTTTTTTTACCATGGTTTTATTTTTTGAAATATAGATTCCTTCAGTCTAATTATCAGCTATAATGCGGACGTAGATTTAGATCATGCAAAGATTAAAAATTAGTATTAATCCATTTATTGATTTTGAATCTATTAAGTTCTTAAACTTGGCTTCCATCTCATATTGACGAATTTATTTACTCTATTCCTCTAACTGAATTCTCTGAATTGTAGGATTGATGGCAGCTGATTTGTGTTACAGTGGCTTTACGAATCATACTCATTTTAAAGTACAAAGACACCCCACCAATAAAGTAGTTTTTTAATATTAATTATACTAAGTAACATAAGGAACCCATCAATGAATTTTAATCTAAAATTGGTCGCCGCGGCATTGACGATCGATTTCTTTCATTTCAAGCGTGATTGGGCTTTACAATGAAAGAATCTGTTTTTATAGTATGTGCTCATCTTTGATATTGAATCAATTCGCGTGAATCAGGTACTTTCAGATTATTCTTAAATAATTGATGATGAGGATATACAAATCTAGGATGATCAAACTATGTGTTATATTCGGGCCGGTTGAGTTTCGTAACTATAAGCCTTTCTTTTTAATAATGCTTTTTTGAGAGTTCTTATATGAGAAGTGCATACCGTTCAAGTTAGTGATGGCAAATGACCAGATTATTTGACTAATTTTCAAATGACCTTGGTCATTGAGTCATGAGTCATTTGCAAATGAGTTGAATTCTAAATGACAGCGAATCATTCACGGATAAATTTCACAAATCCGTAATACTTAAAAATGATCCGGATATCTGAATTTTGCACAAGAATTTTTCATAAATTTTAATTTTGTAAGTAAATTCAGAAACATTTAAAATTTCATTAGTTAGTTTTATTTACATACTTGTAAAAAATAATATTTTATTGAGTTTTAAAGTATTTTGTTTTAACATCCACAAAATATTATAAAATGACCTAAGTCATAGGTTATTTAGCTTTTAAAGTGACTTAATGACTAGTGACCAGTCATCAAAGTCATTTGGGTCATTTCAAGTCACTTGCCATCACTGGCTCAAGTCGTGTAGTGCTATATAGCGATTTAAGAATCGTAAAACTTGCAAATCTTGTTGTTTCCAAGACTCTTTGTATCTTTTTAATTGAATATTTTTCAGGATCCAGATGTTCCTAAAGAAATTGTCGCATATTATACTTCATTATTATCGACATTTCGTGATGTGGTTATTGTATCGGTTCATTAATACCATCTTATTTTTCCATGAATTGAGTTGCTTTGCTTATAGAATTTGTAAACATTGATTTAATTTTGGGTCAATTTTCATTTCCTTGGGAACTGTACGAGATAGTTGCATGTTATTACTCTCGTGCATGACGAATTGTATCTTGTGTAGAGGGTACTAATTGTTTTTTCTTATCCCCAGAAATTGGGCAGCCACTTGCCCTATGAAAAAAAGTTGTACATGATTCGTACAGATTTTGTACAGGTGCATACTGAAATCACTGAAATCATACAGTTTTTGTGTAGTTATTTCAATTTTTCATACACAAATGATTGTACAGTAATTTTAACATGGAGAAATGTACAGAAGAATTCTGAAATTTAAAATATATAAAAATTGTACAGAAATTGTAATAAAAAAAATTTAAACATATACAGATTTCGTATATATTAGTATTTTATGTACGTATAAAAAATTTATTATAACTAAAAGTGGGTAAATTAAATTGATTAATTTTTTACAAAAATTGCAAATAATAAAAAACTAACATTTAAAACATTTCTTGGCTTTAAAAGTAAAATTACAGAGGAGACAAAAACACTATCTATGGTTATAAAATTAATTTTTGTAATTGACTAGTACAGTTGATTTTCTTATTTCAGATTTTGTAGAAAAATGTGCTAAAAATTTGAACGTATAGGTACTAGGGTTATTTCACGTTTTTGGCACCCTTGCACAGTCCAGAAATCGTAGTGTTTTTTTTAGGCACAAAAACTGCACAAAGACTTTATGATCCACATTTCTTTCATCATTAGAATTAAATTTACTGAAGAAGACGAATTACACTTGTCAAACATTTGACGATTTTAAGAATAATATGTTGTCTTAGAAGTAGTATCCTAATTGGTTATTATTTCGTCGGTGGAATTTTATCTACTTTTAAATGTTGATTTATTATTAAAAGCTGTATCCGGCTTTTATTTTATATATTTTATATATATTTTTTTTCTTAATTAAGTTTTAATTTTTATTTTAGTCGATTTTTTATTTTATTTTTTTTGATGCTCACTAGCAGTTACCCGTTGCTTTGCACCGGGATCAGCAGTCTTATTTAAAATGAGGAAATTCTGATTTATGTTTAAATCTATGAAGCAAATCGCGTTCAAATTGCAAGGCATTTTTTTCTGTAAAAAAAAGTAATAAAAATGTATTTATTGAAAAAAAATTTTATTCAAAAATTTTCGTTTATTTTATTGAGAAAAGTGGGTATATACAAAATATTTATTATTGTTTATTAATTTAAATGATTGAAATCCAGGGCAACCCAGACTGATCCGAAGCACGAAACCATAAAAAGAGAGAAGGGCGGGTGGACGAAGAATAATAACAAAAAAAAGAAAAAGGTTGACGCGATTGTTTGTTTATTCACTTTAAATAAGTTATCGTAATCAAAAAAAGTTAGTTTTTTTTTTAGTAAAAACAAAAGAAATCTAATCCATTTTTCCGAAACTAAAAAAACATTCTGAGATCATCCGAACCGAAAATAGGAAAATCAATTTTTTTTATATTTTAGTTTGATGCAATTATACAATTTTTTTATACAGGATAATAATCTAAACGTTACACTTTTTTTTTTAGTTATATAGATTTTATTTTAGCAGCAAATCAATCTCATTCATTTGATTTTCTTAAAAATTAAGCGATCTAGAGATTTTTTCAAACATAATTTATGTAATTCAATAAAAATTTTCAATACATAATTCTTAAATCCCAGAACAAATTTCTTTATTATTTAAAAGGAGTCATAATGTTTCAATAATTTCTAGATTTACATATTTGAAAATAACTTGGAACATAAAAGCAACAAAATAATACAAAAATGAAACAAATAAATGAAAATAAATCTCCTTAAATCTTTTATATGTAGTCAAATATATTTTGTAAATTTCCACTATCCTATACAACCACCTCCAGTGCAACTGGGTTGACCTTCGGTGCAGATCCAATCCCCGAAACGAGTTTTTTCGCATGACATTTGTCTTTTCGCCAACTTTTCATTGTTTTCCATTTTGGAAGGATCAGCATAAACGACACTACTGAAAGTTGCAATTGAGATGGCAAGTATGAAAATAAGATTTTTCATGATGTTTTTGATGTTTTTAATGATATTGAATCAATAATTTATAATTTTTTTATGTCTGAATGAGTTTTGGTTATGGGAATTGCAAGTTCTCAGGACACGTATTTATATCTTAATCAAACTAACGGTTCTTGTGTTACAGTCAGAACCACAGCCAAAACAATTCTGCTCAATGGCTTATAAGTTGAGATTTATAAAGCTAAACAATGAAAATTCCAAAAATAACAAACAATTTAATTTCATTTTAATAAGAAATTCTTTATACAAATATTATATTAATTTTAAAGGATTAATATTAAAAAAGCATTCATTTATTTATTTGTTGGTCAGAACAACAGAGTCAAGCCATGCCAAGCCTAATTCTGATCAACAGCTTGTATTGAGCTGAGCCATAGTGCATAAATAAATATTCATTCTTTTTTTTGTTTGTTGGCCATAAATAGTCAAGCCACGATAAGCCTAGTTCGATCAACGGCTTGCGGTTGTGTGCTGAACCTAGGATTTCTGTGTACAAAAAAATGTTTAAAGGATTGTCAGGCTGATGATTTATTGTCAGGCTGATGAAAATATTAAATATTTAAATGCAAATAAACTTATAATTAATGCTTTTATCGTCGAAGATTCTATTCATTTTGAAACTACAATTATAACAAAATATTATTGCTGTTGTTTATAAGATCGTAACCTAGAAACTAACTTTGCATTCATTTTTTACGCGAGACGCAACGCCGATATTTATCTAACCCACAACTTCGTCTAAATCGACTATATAATCGATTACTCGCGATTAAACTAGATTCGATTATTTTCGATTTCGATTAATCGATTCTAATCGAATTTTTTTTATGGAGAAATGAATTTTTGATCATAATTTTAATAGTAACTAGGGTATTTTATCGATTTTCAGTTTCGATTAATCGACCTATTTTATATATTCTTTTTCGATCATTCACTTTATCATCATTGTTCTCAAATATGCAAAGAATCTTTTAATTTACGATGATTTTTTTTTATCACGCACTTACTGCGTTACTAAAAATAGATTCGATTTTTTAATCGATTTTCGACTCATTGTTTAACGAGCTTGAATGATGTAATTTACGCATGCCGATAACTCTTTATTTGCGAAAAAAATCAAGTTATATCAGGAGATTTAAAGTAATCAGAAAATGAAGCGAAGCGATTAAATAAACAATAGGTCTGGTTTATTATTCTAAGCCACGCAACTAGTCTACTCATTGACAATTATTTTTTTATTTTTCGTTGCATACTGCATATATGTCACAATTAATTTACTGATACATATGGGATGAGTGCTGGGAAAAAGGACCAAATCGACAAAAAATTTTTTTTTGAAATAAAAAATGATCTGAATCAGATGACCAAATCTACATCTATTTTACTTAGGAACTTTTTTTTAAAAAAAAAAATCAATTTGGTCCATTTTTCCAGCACTCACCTCATATATATAAAAAGTCTTAATTTACGAGAATTTCAATTTCTATTAAAAGATGCATTACAATGATACATATTGAAACGTATATATACCAAGTCCTAATGCTTATTTAAGGGTGCTATCTTGAACTGAGTATTAATAAGCGAATAATACAAACTGCAATTAATGATAATTTATTTATATTATAATGTATAAATTTTATGACCTGTGATTCTACATGCATGTTAATATTTCACTAACGTGATGAACATTCTGAAAAATAATATTGGTTCGTATTGAAATTATTTATAAATCAAATTATTTATATAAGTTGACACATAGAAGCAGCATTATTATTTTATAAGTGTTAATTATTTACAATTAATTATGGAGTTAGTTCAAATTAAAGCTAGTTAATATAAAGTTAACATTTAAAAATGGCGTTGACTTATTTGATAGATGATATTGCTTATTATTTAGTAATTCTCGAGCAATGCTAAATAAAATACTATTATTTTAATTTGTAATTTTTAGAGAGAAAGTGAAGGGATGCATAGCAGTATCGCAGTAAAATTGCTTTGTTATGATTCATAACTATTCTTGGTAGATATCGATAATGCTTCGCATTTATAAATATACTTATAAAAATTTCTCGTGAATATCGTGAATATTTGAGAGGTTTACGAATAAAAATCGCGATAGTTTATATGATTTCGTTATGCTTTTAATAGCAAATATCACATATATTTAGAAGGCTCACAACTAATAACGGTATGCTAGATGACAATAAACTTTTTAATATAATAACGAATAGTATTTTTTTAATAATTAGCACAAAATTTATGTAAAAGTATTTATGCTTTTATTTGAATAATTCTAATAATAAACCTTTTTTCATGTAATAATTTTGTATTTTGTTCATATTTGTTTAGATAAATCACATGATTGTTCGAAATAGTTGATAATTTTAATTAAAATCATTAATCAAATATCGCGATTATTTTTTCTATTTCTAGACTACTTCCTTACAAATATTTCTTCACCTATAAATTTTTGCAAAATGTCTGCACAAATATTTTTCAAACTTAAGTCAACATTACATTGAATAATTGAAGGATAAGGAAATTTAAGATATCACTGTGAAAGTTGAAGATATTAATGTAAAAATATCCATGCCAAATGAATACTTGCTTATTTACGTAGAGCCTTAGCTGCAATGCTAATATCTTGGCTCATTTGAAAATTGCCGAAAATTTCTTATAATTATTTAAAAGCTACAATCATATTATAATTCGACTCTCCTTTTTCGTAAATTTTATTTATTTCATGAGACGTTTAGATATTCTTAAAGTCTTTATAGTTGGTTAAAAGCAATTTGTCTTTTCTCTCTGAAATGCCTTTAATACCAATCATTAAAAAGAACGATTTCAAATGAAAAAAATTAATGTTATGTTATGGACATGTATTAAGGAGGACTTCCATAAAAATAAAAAGGAACTATTGGTAGATACTATCCTCGAATATAGAAATTTACTAATTAAAGGGTAAAATTAAAGACAGTTTAATATTTCTTTTATACTTTATTACAAATTCTATAATTATAAAAGTTAAGAATTATAATTTTCAATTAATTACAAGAATAAAGACATTTGTTTAGACAAGTTCTTGCATTTCAGTGAGTTAATAATCCTTTAAAAAATTTATCAGAGATTTGAACCCTCCGTTTATTTTATTAGTACAATATTTTGTGCTTTCTCCATAAATGTAGAATTAATCATTAATAAAAACGGAAGTTTCACTGACTATGCATTAATTAATTGAATGAATATTCACTGATTAGTAAAATGGAAATAAATGCTGAATAATAAAATAGAGATTGTTGACTATAAAATAATAAAATAAAGAAATAATAAATGATCAACTATTCGTTTATGCAATACATAACATATAAAATATTAATACCGAAAGTTTTACCAGAATTAATAGATCTGAATAACTTCGTGAATTATTTTGATCTCGTTATCTTTCTCCTTTTTGCTTAGTTTTTATAAATTAAAAAATAACGATAATTATTGTAAATGTGGATTTGTTGCCTTAAACTAATATTAGAAATTTAGAATAATGTTAATTTTATACTTTTCTACAAGCATGAATTCCAGACTCTTACATTTTTAATAAATTTTTAATTTTCCCTTTAGTTTCTGGAAGCGAAAAGCAGCAAGATTACACAGAACATTCAGTAACATCGTTATAAAATAATTTTCATAGTATTTATTATATACTACTAACCATTCGATATTAAACTGGATTAATTATCGGAGTTGAATTTACAGGTCATTATGTATCCGTACTTGTTATTAATGAATATATTTAACATAGCATGGCATGGTATGGTATGGTATTAATTAAAATAAAACACTTTGTTAAAACGATATGTCTAATTAAAATGAAAGTTAAAATGACATTCTTTAAATTTTTTCATGTAGAAATATAACTTGCCACTCGATTTTCTAATATCTTATCATAATTTTCAAGTTATTTTTCGTTGCTTTTTATGTATTGTAGCACTTAAATTATATGTAAAAAAATGAGATGGTTTTTTTTTATTTCAATAACACATTTAGATGGGTTATATATATTGATTATTTAGTGCATGTTATATTGTTTATGATTAATTTGATTTTATTTAATTATTAGAGAACGGTGAATTTTTTTAAAAAATCGCTGATGACTAACAAAATTTATTGTTAGAGTAAGTCACATTATATGGGTCTTTGCAATGGGGGGATCAATTTCTTTTATATGCCAAATATGATTTCAGGCCTAAATATGTTCAGATTTAGCATTATCTCATTGTTTATTTTTCTGGAAGTATCCCCCTTTCTATTCTATTGCAAAGGTCCCATATATTATATTTATTACGAAATCAATATTAGTTATTTACCGATTTCTCTTATTTCGCGATAAATCATTATTACATATTTACTCTGATTCAAGCATCAAGTATTGCAAAAAAGTATGATATTCCCAGAAGTAAATGTAGAGAAATTAATTAAAATATTATTTTTATGAATTCTTATAATTGTTCTAAGAATGCATTCATTAAACAAAATTGATGTTTTATAAAGTATAATAAAATCATTCTAAAGCTTATACATATTACGATTTATAGTATACGATAATTAAATAAACTTCTATTTTTATATAGTTAAATAAACTGTTAATAATATTGTATTATATAAAAAACTAATATGTATTCATTAGTTTAAAAGATAGATTATGGATAAATAACGAATATAAACGGAAAAACCCAGATTGTCTATTTTTCTAGTTGCCGCTACTATAAAATAAATAATAATAGTATTCTGGTGTAGGGAAATATACTTTTCCAAGTTATTACAAAGTAAAATTCATTTAAAATAATTTCGAATATTTTTTTTATCATGATTATTATATTATAGAATTGCTTCGATTAATTAGTTACCAAGTGGAATATTCCGATATAAATTTATAAAAATTTATTTATACTGTACTTTACATTGAAAAATTGAAAGAATTAGAAGATAGTATATTGATTGGTTGGTTAAACTTCTCCAAATGCATAAACATCCCTCTAAGGTCAGCTTCTCTTAAATTCCCGAAATAAATATTGCTGACTAAAGTAAAGGGTTTCTTCAAGATGTCTCGTCAAATAATTTTTTAAATGTTTAAATAATAATAATAATGAAAATATATTATTTTGTTGATACTTATATGGATATTCATCAAGAAAAACTCCAGTATATTACATTTGTAATAATATTATTTTATTTATTAAATAAAAACCATTCTTAAATATTTAAATATTTAAATAATGTAAAAAATTTAAATACGATTTTTAAGCCGGTAAAAATTATCATTCATGTAAGATTTGATATACTTCATAATCCTCTATAGAAAATCTGTCATTTGTATTCCTTATCACTTTTTCATAATTACTTAGTTTACAATAATTATTATTAAAATCAAAATAAGGAATATCTCTATCAAAAAAATAAGGTTTATTAATATAATTAGATGATATTTGTATTCGAAGATCATTATCAAAGGAAGGGCCATCAGTAATACTACAACATATGGCATTGCATTTGTTTTTTATATGGCTTAAAATTACATCTTTGAGATTATTCTTATTCTTAAAAGAAAATATAAAACTATCTTTGGTTACCCTACATTCACTGTTTATATTCCATAATAATGGATTATATCCACCAAGGATTTCATTTGTCCCTTTTACTTTGATAAATGTAACAGTATTTGTTTTATTATCACATAATTCATGAAATTTCTTGGGAGTATAACCATCTCTGCTTCCTCTTAATAATAATTTAAATTTATATGGAAGGTGCAACCCTCTTTCATAAGAAAATTTGTTTTTGATATCTATTTTATCAAACCATCTTGAAATGAGTGAAACAATATTTAAATCAACGATTTGTGAATCAATTATTCCATCATCCTTTCTATTTCTCGGTAACAAAATGTTAATATTTGGTTCGCTATTAGGAATTAAATAAGATTTAATTAATTCTTCATAAAGTTGGGAATTTAAAAGCTTTTTATATGGACGAACTTTTTCAAAGAATTCTTCGGAAGTTAAGCTAAAAAATCTAATTAAGGGTAAACAATGTTGTAAGGTATTTGCCATCATTTTGAAATCATCATCTGACCAGATTGTAGGATCAGAAATGAGAGTAGGATTCTTTTCAAGTCCCCATTTTAATACGTATTTCCAAACCTCAATTTCCTCCATTTGTAAATCATCACTTTTGATAAGTGAGATCAGAGATTTTTCAGGAAGTGATGTGAAATCAAGTGACTGAAATATTTTTTCAGGCGTTTTAGTCATAACACCTGTACAGAACTCTTGAAGTTTCAATAAAGTGTTAAATTGAAAACTTGTTCTATGAGTTAGCTCAAAATGTTGTTCCATCCATTCAGATTTGTTTTTAATTAAATAATTCTGTAAATATTCAACTAGCTCTTGAAGAAGAAGCTCATCAGCAGCAGCCAATAATTTTAAAGTATCTGAAGTATCTTGTCCGTCTAATGAAATAATTCCACCATAAATGTACCTAACAACATAAAAAAAAAATTTAAAATCATTAAAAGAAGTCGAAAGAAAATGATGACCAGATTCTTAGATTTAGGTATACAAACTTACTTCATAATAATTTGAAAATTTTCTGGTGAAATATTTGGCAACTTAATATGAACCAAGGTATCTTTATTATCCTTTTTATTTGAAGATAACTTTCGTCGCAAAAATGGAGAACGATAACACAATATAATCATATGTGCACGAAATATTTTCACATTTGGATCTTTGCCAACTTCAATTGTAATATCATAGTATTCATCATCATCTAAAATTTCAATATAATTTTGACTCAACTTGGGAAAAAATTGTGTCGACATTTTTTTTGTCAAAAGTAGAAAATGTAAATTTGGACTAAATAATTTAAGGGATCATCGCTTAAATAATCACTTAATTGTGTCACTTTTCTCCTTGTTATACAGAGATGGGCGTTAATTAATTAACCGTTTTGGTTAATTTTGAATGGACCAATCAAATCTAGATGATATTTTTTTTCATTACGATAGAAACAAAAGTAGAGGTTGGAACCGGTTTTGTTTTCACAAACCGGTTTAAACACTTTTTTAATTTGAGACCCGAATTTAAACTGAATTTAAAATAAGACCGATTCAACCGGGCATTCGGTTATAATAAAACCGAAAAACCGAATTGCGATTAATTTTATTAATGCAATTTCATAAAAATCTCACAAAATAATGCAAAAACTTCGAAGGAAAAAATTGTTAGTACACAATAAAATAAAAATTTGAAGGAATGATTTCGTAAGGATCTAACATAAAAAGTATAATTCTACAAATTTACATGAAATAATGGAGAAATTAAAAAAAAAATTGTCGCGAAAATTGGATAATCCAAATAATATAAAAATAATTTAAACCTTATTATCGAAATTATATAATATCTAATGTTGCATAATTATCAAATGTTAACAAAACATAATTATCATATTTCAGGGTTTGATTTTAATTCATTAAATTCGAATTTTCGCAATAAACCGATTTTATTAAAACCGGTTTTCGAATCTGAAAAAAATAGACCCGGTTTTATGTTGCAACCGGTTTAAACCGAATGTAAATCGATTTACACCAAACCGGTTCCAACCTCTAAACAAAAGTTAAATTTGAATATTTTTATTTAACTTTTTAACATGTAAAACCTAAAAACCTCTTATTAATTCTTTTCTTTTCTTACTCTCCTTTTTCTCTTATTTTCAACTTATCAAATAGTTGGGCTTATTAAAAAAATTAACTTAATAGTTTTTGAAGTATATTTCGATAAATTCTTTGTAATTTTTTTTTATAAAAATGGTAAAAAAGACGCAACAATATGGCTATTCTTAGTAATATATTTAATAATTTTGCGATCGAGTCTACAAAATTTTATTTTTTTATAAATTTTATATAAAATGATTATTACGGATAATTAACGTTAATTTAACCAAATCTTAATTAACCGTTGATCTCCCATCTCTAGGTCTGAAGAACAAATACAAATTGATGAGATTTTCTCGATCCAAATTTAATCTTGATAATTAATAGTAATGCTTTCCTTATGTAATCCGAAAGATATTATTGCAGGTTGATTATGGAATTGAGAGCGAGAGAAAAGAATGAATGACTTAAGACCAAATTTTATTAAAAAATAAGGCATGTACAGCATTTGCGGTCTTATGTCTGTCAAACCATAACCATTACTAATTTTACCTTTGTTCTTGTATAAACATATTTTTTAATTTTTTTCTTTTATAGATTTGCCAATAGATGGTGATTTGCATCTTCCATTAACTTTTATATAAATGTATTATAGTTTAACATATATATATATAACCTTTTTTAAAAAAAATCAGAATCACTATTTCTTCTTTTTCTTTTCTTTTTTTAAATTTATTTTTTTTTAGAATCATTTTCTTTCGGTTTTCAATGTTATTTTTTCATTTTTTTATAGTAACAAACATTCTTTCTTTTGGATAAGTTAAATGACTTTTTGGGACTCTTTCAGGTATGATTTTTTAGTATTTACTAATTTTTTTTATTTTTATTATAATACTGAACTGTACTGAACCTTCTTTCTTTTAGATAAGTTAAATAGCTTTTTGGGGGATATTTTTTGATTTTTTACTACAATAAGAATGTTTAACTTTGATATAGATTTCTGTTAAAGAAGCTGTCATTGAAAAAATGATAAGAAATTTTTTCATTTACAGAGCCAGCCTAATATAGTACTTTAAAATTTTTTTACGAACCATTACCTTATTACTTGAAAGATGGTAATGGGCTTTCCTCCTGTCCAGATAGTGTCACTAATCATAAAAAATTATAATGCTGTTTTAAATTTTATATCATTATTTTTGATACTATTAATAGCATTATGTAATGTTAAAATAACAGTAAAAAACAGACATGCATATAGATCTTTTAGCGCTGATAACATATCCCGATACATACAGTATAAGTTTGGATTAATTTCTTTAACCTTATAAGAGCAATCATAAAGTGTACTATACAATACCTCTTTTTCAGAACTACTCGATGGAATTAACAAAACTGCCATGTGGTGATGACATTATGATGATGCTGATATTAATAATATTATTTATCTTTAGATAATGAAATAAAATTTCTTTCGCAGATATTATACATTAACATTATTTATTAACATTTATTACTATACAATATACAGTATGTTGTTTATTTATAAGCATTTTAGTACAGACGTTTGAAGGATTTAAGATCTTCCATGTTAATTATCATTTAATAGAAACAAACTAAGCGACTTTGTAAAATGCAGGTCTTTCACACATTTGTTACAGATCAAATTAATAATATGCATTTAAAAAATTAATATGATTTAGTCTTTTATTTTAAGATTACGAAAAAAATACTTTATTTATTTTATAAATTTGATTCATAACTATATTTTGTTTCAATATATATATTTTTATTTATTATTTATTTATTTAATAAAATTCGAAACTCCGTTTTTTAAAATTTGAAAGTCAGTTATAATCTATATATATTAATGATAATAATGTAATATACGAAGGTAAAATGTACTATTTTAAAAATATATTATCAAATAAAAGAGAATTTAATTTGAAAACCATTCTACAATTAGAATCTTGACAGTATATCTTCCTCCTCCCGGAAACGCAGCTATTAACCCCTGCTTTTCTTAATCCATCGAAAATTTTACTCCTGATACCACTCCAACTTCCTTTTAAAAAAAAGCGCAGTAAAAAGCTTGACCGTTGTTAAACAAAAGATGGGCACATTCTTCGGGCATTTAATGTTTACTTTCGCATAAATTATCATTTTGTTCAGAATGCAAAATGCCATCCCATTCGCACAGTTATTTCGTTATTTTTTGGCTTGTTTACCCTAAAATAATAGTGCTCGTTCAGGATTGAATCTTTCAAGTCATATATTTCTTACTGCTTATCTTATTTTTATATTAATAAAAATTTATACTAATAATTTTTTTTTTTAAATTTAGCTTATGATGATTTATATAGTTGATTTAAATGATGGATTTATATTTTCTTTATTTTATTTAAATAGATATTATGTAATTACTCAAAATCCTATTACAAAAGATTTTACTATAATTATAAATATTATAAATATGATTTAAAACATTATATTAATGAAAACTTTACAATTTTAAATGGAATCAAAAATTAAAAATATTACAACAAGTTATATTTGCACTTGAAAGGAATTGATGCAATGAAAGCGGAGTGGATATAAATCTTTGTATTACGTCACTGCCTCAACACATAATTTGACATTATTCCATTCATTGAAATTTTTTAGAAGACGAATGAAATTTGGCATTGAAGTACAAAGCAAATTTTCATAACATAAAATTTTAAAAAAATTTAAAAGTTTTAGATTACTGCATTTTATTGAAAAATCAGTGTTCGGTTCGTTAAGGATAACAATAAATACTTTATTTCTCAACGCACAGTTATACAAAATCCACAACACCACGCTTTAATAACTTATGATAATTACACTTTGGTCTTGGTGTAACTTACAACAGAAAATTTTACCTAACATAGCGGGTGATTTTTGATAACCCTATAAATAACTAATTCAATCTTCCTTTTTGTTTTACAAATTTTCACTCTGGAGATATAATTACCACGTCATCATCATCTGATTCGTTCGTGATTACAATATATGAAGAAATATTTCTTGCACTTGAAGAATAATTCCTCATATGCTATCTCTTACATGCATGTCAAATGCTTGCACTATTTTCCTTGAATAAATATCATTCAGATAAAGTTCTAAAACAAAGATCAAGTCCGATAAGTCATCTCTCGACTTGTCAGAATCCGCTGGCCATATCAAGAAAGGAGAACAATCGAGATCTGACTAAATTTCCAGCATATCTTCGATTTGAGGGTAATTCTCGATCTTGGTGACGGTAGATTTAGGTTTTCAACACTTAGCCTCTTCTTTTCGACTACGACCACTTAGGAAGTCCAAGGACTGCTAGACGGTGAAATTAACAATTATTGAATATTCTCGTTTGAAAAGAATTCCCAGAAAAGGTAAAGATAAGGTTGGGTCCGATCATTCCAGACCTGTCTTTCTTTTTTTTACTTTGACCGAACCGGTTCATTTGGACTAGTCCGGGACTTTTCTTAAGATAAGTCTTTGAATCGATGATAAAATTAATAGTGCAAAATCTTTAAGAATGACTAACGAATGAAACTCACCAGTCAAAGTCTAGATATTAAGCACGTGAAAAAGTGGGAAACAAAATATAGTTTTTGTTTACAGTTAATAAGGCATTTATAAATTGATTTCGATTTAATCGAAATATAGCACAAAATCATAATACATAGAAACATACAAAATCTTGGTATCGTAAAATATCTCCTCTTCCATTTAATTTTTCCACATTTATCAACATAGAATGGTTCTTTTTAATTGATTTACAAAGAATGATTTAATAAAATTCTAAATAATAAAATATTTGTTGATAATTTCATTCTCCATCTCTGCAATTTTCAACACGCGCAATATTCTAAGATGAAATCTGCTTACCACATTCTAATCTTCTGCATCATTATCTAAAAAATCTGTTGTTTCTGTGGTGGCCATGACCGGTGTTAACAAAATTTCTATGTTATTAATGATGTCGGACCAAATATCTTTGAAAAAAAATACTGTGCAATCGTTGCTAATAGTCGGTATAATCGGTTAATATTAACCGGTTAATTAACAGTCAAATCTGTTAGCTTGACCAGAATCATGTTTCTAGGGTTACAAAAATTTGATAGCTCTTGTCAAAGGTACAGTGCCAGTTAATCAACCTATTAAGGAGTTTTGAACCTCTAGAGTTGAAAGTTAATCATATTATACTGTGACAGATAATAAATAAAGATAAAAGTAAAGTTAGCGACAAATATATAAACAAAAAAAATAAGAGTCAATAATCGAAGAATTTCTGAGCATACACTTGTTTGTGAATTTCCACAATATAATTTTATTT